GGGGGGACCTTTCTATTTGTTGGGGAAGGGGATGTTAGTATATCGCCTTAACAAAAGGCTTTATATTATAGCGCCTTTTGTTAGGGCGATATACTTTCCTGCCAGTTTGAGTTCAAATATAACGCCTTAGCTAAAGGCGTTATACCTTAACTGGGCAAACGGTCGTCAAGGTATAGCGCATTTAGTCAAGGTTTTATATATATTTTGATCACCAATTTTTTTTTTCCACACGTTTTGGTTCCGGACTCTTGTATACACACTTTTTACCAATCAAATCATGGTCAAGTGATATAAAATTTTACTGTAATTTATTGGATTTTAATTATTTAATTAAATATAAATACTTGATGCGAATAATTATTTATCTTTCTATAGGTGCTAGTTGATTTCTAAATTTGAAAAAATTAAATTTAAATTTCTCATTTTATGATTAATGAAAAACTTATATACCGAACATCGAGGGCAAAATCTTAAGAGAAGTTAGACGGTGTTTGGCTAAGCTTATAAGCACTTTTTGGCTTATCTACGCGTTTGGTAAAATTAAAAGTGCTTATAAGTTATAAGTTAAGTGCTTATAAGCCAAAAATAAGCCAAAAGCCATAAGTTGGTCTCCCCCAACTTATCAAATTTCAGCTTGTAAGCACTTTAAGTTTGACCAAAATATTTACTATTCTATCCCTAAAATACTTCTTTTTAGAACAAAACTCTTCGTATACCCAGTTCTTCAACTGCTTATTATTAATTCCAGCACTTTTATCCAAACACGTAACTGCTTATTTTTTAAATCAGTTTCAGCACTTAAAAGTACTTTTCAACACCTAATACTTATCAGCTACTGTAAATCAGCTAAGCCAAAAGGGCTTAGTCCTTTCTCACAAGCTGCTCACTTATGGCTTGCAATTTCCAGCTGTCTGTTGGACGTATTGAACCGAATTGTAATAAGGAGCGGTTGCACGAAACCATACATTACTTAAAGTCTGAGTACTGCCAATATATTTTCTAGGATAGTACGTCATCCACAGAAAATCAGTGATAATTGCCTCATTTCCCATCAATTATCTAAGGTAAAAAAAAAAAAAGGAACTGATGCATGGATAAGATCATATTTATTGTCAGGTAACTCTTTTTTCTTTTCTTTCTTTTTTCCTATTTGTTGTGGATTATTTAACGTAGTTTATTGGGTCAATCGTCTTGCCAAATTAAATTTGATCCCAATGCATTTAACATTATATGAATATAAAGCCTTTTATTTTTTAAAAATAATTGTTTCATGTAATAGATTGACCAAATTTGATGAAAAGATAGACCAAATTTGAAAGGCGAAAAAGACATTTAAATTGGACTATTGTACGTTTGTAACTAATGCTATTAATATCTTCTTAAGATGTTGCAGAAGATCGTGAGTTATGTATGGGGTCGAATTTGACCAATCACGTCCTACCGTCAACATGACCAACCACTGAATGTTTACGATACAATACGAAGGAACGATCCAAGGGTAAGAGGAGGAACGACCTCGACCTGTAATCGGCTCCGCCATAGAGTACACTGATTTTGTCGTTCTCATGACTCAGCTTAGATCCCCCATTATATAAAGGGGATCCGAGCCTTGTAATAAGGGGGACTGGGAATAGAAAAAACTGATTCTCTCTCTCTGATTTTTATCATTCTCTCTATCTCTCTCTCTCTCTCTCTCTCTCTCTCTCTCTCTCTTTTATCATTATTACTGTCCCGATTATTGAAACAATCTTAGGGTTTATTATCTTCGACTACGATTTACCCCTTCATCTCTTTGATTGATTTGCTTAAAAAGAGCTTAACATCTTTTGAGTCAAACAATTCGGCGTCGTCTGTGGGAATTTCTGTAGTCGAAATCATAGTTCTCACCTGGGATATCAAAAGCAACGATCTCTATCCTTCGCACTCCAGAGAAACCGGCGATCGCAGAGAAAGAAGCAAGGTTGAAGGCGATAGCGAATGTNNTCTACTCCATACCACCCAGCCGACAACGGTCAAGCCAAATCTTCCAACAAAGTGATATTGAACATATTGAAAAAGAAGCTCGAGGAAGCTAAAGGGTTATGGCCCGAATTACTGCCTGAAGTACTATGGGCATACCGAACAACGCCAAAATCCAGCACGGGAGAAACTCCATATTCACTGGTCTACGGGACCGATGCAGTCATACCCGTCGAGATCGGGGAGCCAAGCCTGAGATACTCCCATGACAGCGGGGCGGGTAACGACGAAAATAGGTTACAAGACCTAGATGAAGTCGAAGAGCGGAGAGACATGGCCCATATAAGAATGATAGCCCAGAAACAGCAGATAGAGAGATACTACAATAGAAAAGCCAAAGTAAGATCACTCAAAGTTGGCGACTACGTCCTCAAGGCCAAAACACTGGCATCGAAAGACCCAAACGAGGGAAAATTGGGAACCAACTGGGATGGACCGTATAAAATCACAGCAGCTGCAAACAAAGGAGCGTTCCAACTGGAAACAATGGAAGGAAAATCACTCCAAAACAACTGGAACGTCGCCCACCTTAAATACTTCCACTTCTGAGAGGTGTCTCCTAAGCCTTACTCTCTTTCCCTCACCCGAGTTTTGTCCTAATTGGGTTTTCTCGGGGAGGTTTTTAACGAGGTAGCAAGGGAGATACCCCGTGGATCAAAAGCGCAATTCATCACCTCGGTCCATCAACACGGTCTCTAGACCGAAGTAATGAAGGGACTACCCTAGTCAGTCTCCATTGTATAAACAAAAATCTCCATTATATGAATAGAAGTCAATCTCCATTGTATACACAGAAGTCGATCTCCATTGTATAAACAGAAATCTCCATTATATGAATAGAAGTCAATCTCCATTGTATACGCAAAAGTGTCGATCTCCATTGTATAAACAGAAGTCGAATCTCCATCAAAGTAACGTCCTAACGGCTAAGGCCATCAACAATGGTTCGACCTCGACGGATACTACTTCGACAACAGTCGAAGTAACGTCCTAACGGCTAAGGCCATCGACAATGGTTCGACCTCGACGGGTACTACTTCGACAACAGTCGAAGTAACATCCTAACGGCTAAGGCCATCGAAATGGTTCGACCTCGACGGATACTACTTCGACGACAGTCAAAGTAACGTCCTAACGGCTAAGGCCATCGACATTAGTTCGATCTCATTCGAACCTCGACGGATACTACTTCGACGACAGTCGAAGTAATGTCCTAACGGCTAAGGCCATCGACAATGTTTCGACCTCGATGGATACTATTTCGACGACAGTCGAAGTAACGTCCTAACGGCTAAGGCCATCGACAATGGTTCGACCTCGACGGATACTACTTCGACGACAGTCGAAGTAACGTCCTAACGGCTAAGGCCATCGACATTAGTTCGACCTCGTTCGATCCACGACGGATACTACTTCGACGACAGTCGAAGAAACGTCCTAACGTCTAAGGCCATCGACATTGGTTCGACCTCGTTCGAACCACGACGGATACTATTTCGACGATAGTCGGAGCAACGTCTTAACAGCTAAGGCCATCGACATTAGTTCGACCTCGTTCGAACCACGACGGATACTACTTCGACGACAGTCGAAGCAAACGTCCTAACGCCTAAGGCCATCGACATTGTTTCGACCTCGACAGATACTACTTCGACGACGGTCGAAGTAACGTCCTAACGGCTAAGGCCATCGACATTAGTTCGACCTCGTTCGAACCATGACGGATACTACTTCAACGATAGTCGAAGCAACATCCTAACGGCTAAAGGCCATCGACATCAGTTCGATCTCTTCGAACCTCGACATCTTCTGAAAGGCAATATCCCCGAAGATTAAATGTAAAACAAAAACAACAAAAAGGGAGAAGCAACAAACAGACGAAGCGACAAAAACAAAAGTTTATATTACAAAAAAAATTATTTATATTCGTCCACACGGACAGATTTTTGTACACCCCACATCCAAAGAAGATGCAGAAAAAAGTAGTAAGGTGATGAAACCTACCTGTAAAGCCATGCCGGCAACCTTCCGAGACAGCTCCATATCCTTCATCGCCCTGAGCATCCCACTCTCGGGGGCGGCGCACAACAGGCTAAGCGACGATGCGACCTGCTCACTATTCAGCAGCAAGTTGCAATCCCTAAGGATTGTTATATGGCGGTCAGCTCCATCCGTCGCCGCTTCCACACGGGTGTGACAACCCAAAAACTCGTTTACGTCCTCAGGGGCAACATCAGAATCCGACTCATTGGCTTCCACGTCAGGCACACCAACGTTAGTCGACGAACCCCCCTCAGCGGGGCGCACCGAACTAACCCCTGGGCTGACTCTTTTCACGTGTCGGCCTCCCCGATCGGATAGCATCGGCCATAAACATGGGCGCCGGGGCCGCCCGAGATGTTCCACCATCGTCGGCTTCAGTAGCCACCCCTTTTCCTATCTCTAGTCTTCTCCTTTTTCTTTTCGGCGGCTCCTCTCCATGAGAAGATTCGTCGGCGGGTTGTGGGGCCGATGTCAACAAAGTCGGCTCCCCTATAGCCACAGCTGTGGGCGTAGCTCCCTGATGGGGTGTAAGAGAACGACCCTCCCGAACAGACTCGCATAGAATATCTCGAGCGTCCGCAGCGGTAGTAGGACGCACGGAAGCAGGGACTGTCGCCTTCTTCCTAGAAGCACCTCGACCTATAACCACAAAATCACGGTTAGGCAAGGTCGTCTAACCGACAAAGCAAAATCGGAAGTTTACCTGAAGATACTTGAGGGCCGTAACGTTGCATGAATGCAGGCCAAGTTCGCGTTTCCTCCGCGTGAGGAAGCAGGCCGGCGACCCAGCGCCTTAGATCGGCAACGGGCTGGGGCGGACGGGCCATGGCTGTAATATAAAAGTTAGAACTGCGATAACAACATGCAACAGAGAACTTGATAAACTATAGCACTTACGTGTTTTGTTCCATCTTTCTGGAAATCCGGTAGGGTTGGAGACCATATGCTCGGTCCTGACAAAGAAATATTTGTGCCAGAATTTACGGCCCGGCCGGTCGTCGGTTCTAACCAACCCCTTTGTACCACGAATCCTTAAGTGCACCATGGTCCCTCTAAGGAAACCGGCTGTAAATAAGTGCAAGAGATGATGAACGGAGATGTCACATCTGGCCAACGCTGCATATTTAGTCAGTAGCAGAAGCACCTTAAGCGTGTACGGCGTGAGCTGAGCCGGGCAGATGTGATAGAATCTGCAGAATTCCTCCGCCAAAGGAAAAAGGGGAAGACCGTAGCCTATCAAGAAGGGGTACTCGTAGAAGGCACAATAGCCCGGCCTATGAACGTCAACGTTAAACCCCCCCTCCGGAATCATCTCTACGTAAGCTAGAATGCCGTATTTTGCGCGGAGGTCGTCCAAGTGGTTCTGTCCCGTCTCAGAACGCACCGGAACCGGAACTGCGGAATCCTTGTTGAAATCACACCGAGGCGAAGAGTACCTCGGCAACAAACAAAGCTTCTACCGTCAGAGGACTGACATCCTCTTCCACTTCCACCTCCCCACCATCGGAGGAGGGCGGCGCATTCAACGGAGCTACCTCAGGAACCCTCTCTTTGGTACGGCGAGATTTGGGCAAATTTTCATTCGAAAAAGATCACGCGAAAAGAAATGAGGAAGAAGAAAAATCCCTGGACAAGAACGAAATGTGCAGGAACGCGAAAATCAATAGAGGAGGGCTGGGAAAGTTCTCAGGAATGACCAAAGTTCTTCAACAAAATTAAACCCTTCCCCTATTTATAAGGTTGGGTGACACCAGAATCGAGGCGTCAGATTTCAAATCGGCGCGGGAAACCAAGTGCCAAAGCGTCAGTTCTCTTCCGCCTCGAGAATACGCGTAATGATGACACATGCGGACGCTGACGTCACCCAAGGCAGAGTGTTTTACTTCAACGTTCTGACAGGAATGATTGCCGTCTCCCCCACCAGTCACGTCGAATCAAGTCAACAAGCCAAACTCTCCCTGGCGGAAACGTTGATTCCGCCCATCGAGGACGCATCTCGTTGCGACCCCGACGAGCGGAGGGACTAACTGTATGGGGTCGAATTTGACCAATCACGTCCTACCGTCAACATGACCAACCACTGAATGTTTACGATACAATACGAAGGAACGGCCCAGGGGTAAGAGGAGGAACGACCTCGACCTGTCATCGGCTCCGCCATAGAGCACTCTGATTTTGTCGTTCTCATGACTCAGCTTAGATCCCCCATTATATAAAGGGGATCCGAGCCTTGTAATAAGGGGGACTGGGAATAGAAAAAACTGATTCTCTCTCTCTGATCTTTATCATTCTCTCTCTCTGATCTTTATCATTCTCTCTCTCTCTCTCTTTTATCATTATTATTGTCCCGATTATTGAAAAAATCTTAGGGTTTATTATCTTCGACTACGATTTACCCCTTCATCTCTTTGATTGATTTGCTTAAAAAAAGCTTAACATCTTTTGAGTCAAACAAGTTAACTAGTACATAATCATTCAAAAAAAAATACAATAATTTAACAAGATTCAACCAAGCATATATCCTCGGGATAGAAGCAAGAGAGTTTTTAATTACAAGGGGAAAAATAATTAACCACCAAAGGATGTGGTGCAGTGGATGGGACTGCTCCTCCATTAACCAGAGGTCTCGGGTTCGAGCCCTGGGTATGGAAAAATCCTTGGTAGGGAGCGCTTCCCCCCGAATGGGGCCCTACGCGGCGCGAATCCGGATATAGTCGGGCTCCAATACGGGTACCGGACACCGGATGGGAAACCCAAAAAAGAAAAATAATTCTTTGTGCATTATTCTCAAACATTGAAGGTCTCATCGCTCCCTCTCTGCCTTCTTGACAAGGAGTAGCTTCCTGTAAGAATTTATTTGTTATTTACACCAAAATATCAAAATATACTAATTTATGATGATTAAGTGATACACCGAGGTGTTAAAGTGTATTAATTACTAATATAATTAGTTGATAATAAATACGTGAAAATATGTGTCATGTATCCATTCTATTTGTGGAAATCTAAATGCGGGTAATCTTTCTAATTTTACCCTTCCTTCGTATACTACTCTTGAGATTGTACATAATCCTGTTATATCCTCGAGGGGTCGTTTGGTATGCGGACTAAATTATCCCGGAATTATAATCATGAGATTATAATCCCTAGATTAATTTATCTCACCCGAGAAATGGGATAAAATAATATCAAATTTGATGGGATAAGGTGGAATAAGATGGAATATCCAGGATTAAGTTTGGGGCAAAGTTAACCAAACATAGTATAAATTTACCACACTTTATCACACCTTATCCAGCGTACCAAACGGTCCCTGATAGTATTAGTATATACGCAAGGTAAGATCACAAAGTTCAGCAGAAGCACACCATAGTGATATTCAGCAGAAGCACCACAAAGTTTTCCCTACTCCCACAAAATTTAAGACAACCCTCTTGGCAAACATATCGAGCATTTAATCAGGATTTTATAATGGAACCTCAGTTATTACTTATGAGGAATGGCAAACGGGATGGGACGGGGTAGCCGAGTAGGTGAAGTCTCACCCTGCAAAAGGTTTAACCCGCCCCGCTTAGCATTTTTCTCTGTTTTAAAGAGACTGTTAAGTCTGTTAGCGATGTTAGCCTGAAGACTAAAAATGGAACATCATTGCTCCGTTTGCAATGTAGAATCAAAGGACAAAAGAGCATGACAAACATGAAAGTATTTATTCATAACTGAATTGATTGATGGAAGCTAAATAAATACAGAATGAAGACCCTTAGGATCTTTGAGTTTGACAAGGAAACTATGGAACAAAAATTATACCACTTAGCATCTTGCAGCCATGTTGTACAGCTCTATTCACACACCTCAGCCGGACTATTTTCGAAGTCAGATGTAATCCCTAAAAGAATTTAACCAAGGGAGGTAACTTGAACCTTAATCTTTTCCACTTGCTCTTAGCCAACGACGGATGCAAGCTTAGCACATGCTCTGGCATGAAATCATGCCTTGTAATAATACCCACAACAGGTACTCTCTGCAAACAAGAGAACAACAATTTCTAAACGCAGTCAAAGAAGATGAATATACATTCACTGGGAGAACAAACAGAAAACATGATCTACGAAATGTATTTGGCTCCAAGAAGTAACACGTGCATTATCAACATGGTGGATGAAATAGGAAGAGTAAATTAAGATTTAACATTTAGGCAACTGTTAAAACTTAATCCCACGAGAAGAGGATGGGAATGTTGACGGAACCAAGAAACAAACAAGATGTAGAAAGAAAAAGAAAACTAGGAACTCAAAGATCAGAAGTGTTTCATATCAAATACCTGAAAAAGCACAAGGTGTTGGTGAAAGAATGCACTCATGAATGAATATAAACAGGTACCCAAGTCATAAACTAATGCACAGATAGATACTTCAGGTTATGCTAATGCATCTTTTATCGACTGCTGAATTATTTTTAGGAACAAGATATAACTTCCAAGAAGATCATCAAAAAAGAATTTGCAAGAGAAAAGATGAGAAACAGTTCTTACCCCGGAAACCTTGGGTATTACCAGCAGATGCCTTAAACCAACTTCCCGGAAGAGCACAAGAGCCTTCGCCAAGGACATAGTCTCTACAACAGTGTAGGGTGAAGTGTTACAAAAAGGATGCAGATCTATAAACATATCCATCTCTTCATCTGTCAATTGTATATTTTCCACTCTGTCTCCATGGTCTAAACCCTTCTTTGCAAAATCATCAGCTGAAAAGTGGTTAAAGGCATCGGATCCAGCAGGTACAGGATCTCGAATAAATGCTTTTTTCTTTAGCAATTCAACGAGATGTGCACGAAGTATCAAACCAAATAGAACTGGTGAATGGGAAAGCGGGGGCTCATCCACCACCGGGAAACCATTATGCCCTGTAGTTTTGAGGACATGAACTATGTTGCCAACTTTCTCAATGCCACTGAAGAGCTGGAGTGGGCTTGTGACCACATCACAGACTGCCAGTTGTCTCAAATAAGGTTCAGCATGACTTTCCAAGTAAGGGAAACCCTTCAACTTCATTATGAGATCATATATATTCCCATTAAAGGTATCAGCTACAGTTTTGGATATAAGAAGAACTAGCATCATTAAAGGCAGCAAGAGGAGGTCATTAGTCAACTCTAGGATAATTACGCATAACGAAACTGTCATTCTCATAGAACCCCCAAGAAGGGCAGCTGAACCTAAAACAGCAAACAGGCCATGGTTAAGAGTCGAGTGCGAACCAAACATCATCCCAATAAATCGACCATAAGCGGCACCTGTCACAATGACAGGCACAAAGAGACCTGCCGGTGCGACTATCCCATAACTAAAGATGCTCAGGAAAAAACAGGTGATAAAGAACATTAGCATCGAAAGATGGTGAAACTCAGCATCAGTATCCTTGCTGAAAAGGTTTTTGATTGCATCATCATTTGTGTTGAAAAATAGACTGGCAAGATCATTGTAGTGACCTGGAGGACATTGAAACTTCTTATAGTTACCATTCCGTCCAATTGTGGGGCAAGGTTCTGATGTATCTGAAGGGCAAGGGCGGCAAGACGCCAACCATGGTAATCCAAATAGAAGACAAGATGTGAAGATGGAGATTGCAAGAGCTAGAACTATTTTATAAGCAGCTCCTCTCCTGAAACCCGGAAAAAAAAAGGAGCGACATGAATATTTTGAACTTTATCATGCCTTGAAGAAAAAAGAATATGAAAAGCTAAAAGTCAAAGCAAGATCATACTCGTTAATTCGGTTATAAATCCGCAGAACCCTATCCTGTAAAAAGTTGTATAAACTTCCCCATATGCCTCCAAAAACTGCTAGAAAAAGAACAGGAGGCACATCCCAGATCTGATATGCGCTATTAGCTGACGTGACATCGAACATTATGAGACCTCCTTTACCAAAGAGTCCACATTTGCCACTCAAACAAACATCAATCAAAGCCCGAAGCACAATTGCAACCACAGCCGTAGTGAAAAAGGCTCTCCACAAGAGAGCACTTCTCCACCTGCATCACAAAAGAAGTGCTTACAATGTCAAAAACAAAAGGGAATCAACACAGAAGTATGAGAATTATATTAATTCTCAGAAAGATCACTTCTCAAAAAATAATATATACATAATAAATACTACAGCTACATTTCCTAGTTGAAGATCTATATTTGAATCAACTCATGTAGATGTCAAAGCAATTACCGTAATACTAAAAATACTAAGCTCTTAAAAAAGAATCAACGCAGATGTTTGGTAATCAAACTTGGCTAATATCAGGTAATATACAGTTGCGTCAAGTAAAATCTGAGCATATTTAAATTCCCCTATAAAACCGCTTTCTATCACAGAGGAAGTAAATGCAGTGTGTTGGGTGCTGAGGTGTATTAGGGAGTCTTATGCATAATTAAGGGGAAAAAATAGATATTCAGATAAAACAAACAAATCTAAGGTATAATGATTAAGGCTTCTCTCTCTCATAATTGTCAATCTAGGAAATTTTACAAGTCCATATCCTCTCCCACGGTCTCAATCTGAGAATTCCAACGTCCATGCACGACATCTTTTGTTGAAGAGCTACAATAACTGCTTCAGAATATTCCATCCTTTAGGTATAAATTATAACTTAAAAGAGAAAGTGCAAGCCACCAACTATAAGGCAATCCCAAAAAGCCATATTTGTTGGATGCTGAAGTCAATTTAAATATCGACGTCATGCATAATATCAACCATACAAGAGAGAAAAATCTACTATAATCTTAGTAACACAAATATAGCGATAAGGACTATTATCTCCCGGAAACCTTTTGGTCTACTAAGAATCAGATAAAGCATGTACATTTTTTTAAATATACCAAGATGTCATTTCTTCTAGAGCGAACAACAGACCACCAACAGGAGCTCGAAAAGCAGCAGCCATCCCAGCAGCTGATCCACATGTTACGAGATCCCGTCGATCTCTATCGTTTTTAAAATACTTCAGCCATTTCCAAGTCAATCCATACTTCTTTGAACCGCCTTGACCCATTAGTGCTGCAATGCAAGCACCTGTGTGAACCATGGGACCTGCTTTTCCAATTACAAGAGATCCTGATACGGTAGAAATGCTACCAACAATCTGTTCATCAAAGTTTCAAATAAGAACATTTATGAAGCATAGGATGAGGAGGAAAAAATGTATGTATCGCTCGGGCTAAGCTTGAACAGAATTCTCTTTCAAATAACAATCGCCTAGCTTCATCTGATGCCAGTGCTGAAAATTAACATCAAGGCCTAGATGTTTCTTGGGGAGCTCTAGATTTCACATTACAAAGAAGTTGCTCTGTGTCCAAACAAGTTGCTCTACTATCTATACCACGTAAAAACCTAAAACTCATCCAAAATCACTTAAGAGCATTCGTGAAAATATTATTTCCATAAACCAGAATCTGTCTCGCCTTAAAAGTGCAAATAAAAGTAATGCCCTCCTCTCTGAGCTCACTTATGTAGTATGAAAGGCAAATCCACGTATGATATTAATTGATCAACCATGCAATTCTCATAATCCACAACTCATGCAATCATTCCCCAACACATAATCCACCACCAACCCAGAACAAAAACATTTGTAGATAAATGCAAAAACTGGATTGTGAAAAAAAAAGCATTCAAATGAAAAAGCAATTCAAGGTCACTTTACCTTGACAAACAACGTTCTTAGAGAAAATATTGCTGGTGCATCTACACCATTCAAGTAAGCCTTAACTTCAGGTATACCTGAACCAGCAGCCTCTGGTGCGATAAAAGCGGTAATTAGGCTGGCAAATAATGTCAATCCGAAATTGGAAGATGCAAATACAAGAAAAGCCGTTGTATACCTGTTCCGATATTACATAAATCAGTCACCTCAAAAAACATATTTATAAAAGAAAATCAAATATTTTCTATTTATAAATATAACAGATATCATAAATATTCCACTCCACAAACTTAGAACACAGAACAGGGTTATTTCCCATATTCCACAGTTAAGTTACCCCAGAAACACATATAAATATATTTATATGAACATCAAATTCCAGTCAGTAACTTGAAAGAACAACAGGGTTAATATCAGGCTTGTGTAAGGAATTTGTTATATTATTGAAGTATAAGAACTTCAACTGTGATGAAATAGCAGCAGATATCAGTCATTGGCAGGGGAATATTGTATTATATAATTAAATAATCTCAACATACAATCAAAGCCATAGGTGGGTATTAAATGAGAAGTTATGAATGAAAGAGAAGTTACCTTCTCGCTAGCATCATATTAGAGGTAACCACAAATTTCGTTCCAGCAATGTTCTCAACTGCAAGATTGTTACAGAAACCAACAAGGCCGACAAGCAATCCAATGAAAAAGCACATCATCCATTTCATGAATATGTACTGCAATGTCTGAATCTTCTCTCCCCTCCTCCAATCTTGCTTGAAATAATCATTCTCTGAGATTCTTCAACCAGGCAATCATCATTATTAGGCTTCACTTATTTGCCAAACTGATCACAGAAAGGGAAAGAAAGAGGAAGCATTTCCACAGATAATAGAAAGAAACTGGAATTAAAAACAGTCTTTATTTTGGGATCAATGAAGTGGGGCGAGAACCATTAGATTTCAAGTTCAAATCCCGGTGGAGACAAAAACATTAGGTGATTTCCAATCTGTCCAAACCTTAGTGGGCAGGGTTACCCGATACTTTTGTTGGTGGGAGATAGTAGGTATTGGGTAGAATTTGTCGAGGTGCACGGAAGTTGGCCTGGGCACTACCGACATAAAAAAGTCTTTATTTTGCAAGCTCCAACTGTATCTTTTTTTTATAAGGTAAAGTTTTATTGAAAAACAGTACCAAGATAGTACGTCAGCAAATACAAAAGGTAGGACTTGTTTTACATAACATAATCAGAGATTCTAACAAGTTAAGCATATCATTCAAATTCAAAGCTAAATTCCCTTCCATCCAATAGTACAAATTCTGCATACATCTATATTTAACAACAGAGATCATCTCTTCTTATCTTCAGAACATCTCCTATTTTTTTAAATCCATATAGTCCAGGCAAGGCACAGAGGAGATCCAAATGTTCTTGTGAAATCTACCAGTATAATATGTCTTCCAACTGTATCTTCCTTACCATATTCAATTTTCTTTTTGCGATACCAAACAAATCTTTGATGTAAATACTCATACGAATTTGGCTGAATACAATAATAATAAGCAAAAATATCAAAATTCTAATCCAAATTATTCTACTAGACTACCAAAAGTCAAAATATAGATGAGTCTTAAGCTAATATATATTCTTTTTATTTTCACCACAAATACATGAACTTGCAAGAGCAAAAAAGTGATCTTTTTTTATGATAACCGAAAAGTTCCCCAGGGCCAGCGGCACATGATTCGAACTCGGGTGACCACTTAAATACCAGGCTTTTGTCACATCACGTGCTCGTACCACTAGACCACAACCTTGGGCACAGAGTAAAGAGTGATCTTTTTTTTTTTTGTGAATTGTGGAATTGTTCTTTCCTATCTCTTATATTCTCTCAAACTCCTAGTAACATACCGAAACTCCAACCAATATGCATCGGATAATTACATACATCTCTAAATTTTCTAAGCATAGAACTATCGACCCCTAAGAAACTGAATTTTCCACAATATAATCAGTAGAACTGTAGATATAGACATGATTAGAATAGCTACTATCACAAAGTTATTTATTTATTGAAACAAAAAGGAGTACTAAAGCAACTTAAACTTCACGAATAACGACACTCGACCGACCATATATACTTCGTGTATGCTATTGCAAATTACACACACATTACAAGTTACAACATACATACAAACATTGGAGCCAGGTAGACCGTACACACACAGAGAGATAATTTAGTAATTTAGAAGAAGGAGACAGACTCGTAATCGAGGCTTTCGATTGGGCAGACATTGGAGCCGACGATGGCGACCTGAGAAGTGGTGTTGGATGCTGATCGCCGGAGGCCGTTGAGTAGTAGTGGCTGAGTGAGAGACTCCTCGTCTGCCTCCTCCTCCGGCGCCGGCGCCGTTACCGGTAAACCATTAGGAGCTGGAGAGATGAGTAGGGACATAGGTAGGAGTAAGGGTAGGGGTAAGGGTAGGGGGTGGGTGGTGGGTGGTTCAGGTAGTTGGTGTTTAATGGCAGTTACGGAAGAAGAAGAAGAGATGAAGTTGGGATTGTATCTTTATTTCAGCTCCCAAAGAGACTAAAAGGATTTCTGTCTCCTAGTAGTGTTTGGACAATATTTTAAAAAATCACTTTTTTCGATAATTTTTTGTTTTTTTCATGATCAGTATTTGATCATGGAAATTGTCTATTAAAGATGAATTTCAAAAATTTTAAAGACTCTAAAAAAAACCGCTTATCAAAATTTTTACTTTGTCCCTTCGGATGTTCCAGTTATTTTGGAGGACGGTCATCCATACAGATAACATGAGATCAATCCCCTAAATGCCTTTTGGATTGAGCATGTCGCAGGGCTTGCCTAGTGTGGTTCACATCCTGGTTTGCAGACAATTATACAGTGGGGGGTTTACCCAGTACGCACAGAGTGCTCACTCGAAGTACAGAGGCTGTAGCGGTTGCTGTTTTTCCTGGGGTTCAAAAAAAATTACTTCAGATCACTCACAAAAATTCAAAAACAACCCAATATATTCATGTCCAAACGCAACTCTAATTTTCAATATCATTTTCACTTGAAAAAAAAAATTAAAATTTTACAATTCTTATGTCCAAACGCCCACTTAATTAAACTGAAAAACAAATTATTTAAAATTAAGTTTTTTTCTTTAACCATTTGAAGTTAAGTTGAAATTTGAAAATTGTTTTTATAGAAGCTTATTACAAATTAAAGCTGAATTTAGAATTTAAATTGGATAGCTTCACTTTTAAAGTTTTTAGAATTAAATTAATACATAAAATAATATTTCTGGATCTCGAAGACGAAATATTCTATTTTAATATAGAGTCATTTTCATGAAAATTGAAATCACGTGTTTTATCACGATTTACGAGTCATATTAATTAAGAAAATCAACAATTTCACATGTTTTATTTATTTCTGCTCTTACGCCTTCCTTCCTTTTTCTGTTGCACAGCACCACAGCAGTGAACTTCTCTACATATGAGGGAAGTTTCTTAGTTGCAATTTTCGTGATAACAAGACGATAATTTCCTGAATGAGGAAGTTTCGTTTCGTTTATGAGCTTAAGTATAGAATATTTGTGTTTTTTAATTCAAGTACAAAAGAGAAAATGAGAATTAATGGAACAGTGACTCATTAGAAGGGAGTCTTGGATGAACGATAAAGCTGTATGACTTATAGTTCACGAGTTCGAGCCGTGTAAATAGTAAGTCAGTCACTAATGCTTGTATTAGGGTAGGTTGTCTATATCATATTCCATTATGGTGCAGTCCTTTCCTGGACCATGCATTAAACGCGGAATATCCTGTGCACCGGACTGCCTTAATTTTTAACGGTGACTCATCAGTAAAGTTATTGTTTTAATATATTCCATTATTCTAATAGTATATGATTTAATTATTGTCAAATCCTTTCTTTTTCTGCTATGAACCACGCAGTCCAAAGAGAAAATGTTGATATATAATAGTGAAAGAGAAGATTATTGTCGCATAGCTGTTGGACTATGATTGATTCGGATTTAAATATTTTTCAACCAAGCGGATTATTAGGAATTAATCTTTAAATTTTTTAATATTAAACTCGCTATAACTTTTTTTATAAGTTTAGAATTTGTTATGTACTAAAATGTTAATAGTTTTTTCAGACACGTACTTATATTTCGTGTTAAAAATTATTAAAACTCAATTGAACCCATAAAAAACGTAAAAATAGCACGAGCTAGCCAGTTTTCAGATTGGTAACTAAAAATTAGCCAGCGTTTGCACAGTCATTGAAAAATAGCTACTGTTTTGCTGAAACACGAAAAGTGGATTATGGAGCTCTTGCATATAAACTTCCAGCATATAATGTTGGAACTCTAGCACACGGAAAGTTTCAGCATAATACGAGGGATTATGAAGCTCCTTCATATAAACTTGCAGCATATTATGATGAAACTCCAGCACATTACAAAATTCCAGCATATTATGTTGGAAGCTCATATGTAAAAAAATTCGAACTCCAGCATATTATGTTGAAATATTTTCGATTTTAAGAGTGTTTTTGTTCAACTTTTATCTTTACATGAAAAAATGACTAAATTTCAATTAGTTTTAAAACATTGGCTATTTTTCAATTATATGTTATAAATAAAGCTATTTCTGATTTTTTTTTCCAAACGTAAAAACATGTGCTCCAATAAGCTTTACTCAATGTCCAGACATCATTGCTCAATCATACAAGACACGTTACGAGGTTAATGCTATCTAATTTAAAGAGGCCCACTTCCGTACAGTTTCTTCCTTTCTAAAAAATTTTAAGGCAAAAAGGCCTACTTGCCACTTAAATTTTCACCCATTTGCCATCCCAATATATAAACTTATACTTTTTTCATTTAAATTTTATTTATAAAAACACAACTAATGAACACCTATTATAGAGTGTGTTCTACAATCGCGATGACATGTATGACAGGTTACTATTTTAGCTACAACATATTCATTTTTAAAATAAATTTAGACATTTATAATTGTGAACCCCACTTTTGTTGTAAATCTGCGTCTTCTTCACCCGTTTTGTCCCATTTCTACTCGTTGCCACAAATGGCCACCACGGTAGTAAAAAAAACTTAGGAAAATTCAGAAATTTGAAATTCACACTCCAAAAATCATATATTTCAGATTCACATTATCGCAAGCCAAACCAACAGCAAAGTATATTTTCTTACCCATATTAGATTATAAACAATAAGTGTGAATGATCTTCACTACAATAGCTTAAGCCTACCAGAATCTCAAGCAATATAAGTGACGAAATAAATCAGAAAAACAAATATTATAAGAACAATAGAAGGATTCAATAAACCTAATCCCTTCCCTCTCTCATCCCTTAATTTTCTTTCCCAAAATTTCCCTCCTGAAACTACCCCAAAGACCAGATCTTAATAGAGAAAAGTTCAGCAGAAAAACTTTGCCGATCATCTTCTCCAATGATTTATCAGATAAAGTTTTCAAGCTAAACAAGTCTCTCGCTGTGTAACGACCCGACTGGTCGTTTTGGGAATCTGCACTTCGCTGGGTATCTTGAGGGCTCGAGTATCTCCGCATGAGGTATTATAACTTGCATAAATCATCGATGTTGGTTTTCAAGTTATCCGGAATCGATTTGAAGAATGAATTTCAAGATTTGAGTTCTAAGTTGGAAGAGTTGATCAAGTTTGACTTTTTAGCATTTGACCTCAGAATGGAGTTTCGTCAGTTCCGTTAGCTCCGTTGGTGATTTTGGACTTAGAAGCGTGTCCGGATTGTAATTTGGAGGTCCGTAGTTGGTTAGTCTTGAAACGGCGAAAGTTGGATTTTTAGGAAGTTTGACCGGGAGTGGACTTTTTAATATCGGGGTTGGATTCCAATTTCGAAAGTTAGAATAGGTCCATAGTGAAAAATGTGACTTGTGTGCAAAATTTGAGGTCAATCGGAGAGGATTTGATAAGTTTCGGCATCGGTTGTATGAGTTGAAGCTTCAAAATTCATTGATTTTGACATGAGGTGTGATTCGTCGTTTGAGGTTACGATGCGTGATTTGAAGTTTTGAGTAGGTTTGTTTTGTCATATAGAACTTGTCTGCAAAATTTGGCACCATTCGGAGTTTATTTGATATGGTTCGGGCACGCGGTTGCGGTTCTAGAAGTTCTTGAAGTTTAGTTTGATTTTTATGTGTTTTGGCGTCCGATTCATGGTTAGAAGTTATTTTGATAATTTGAGCGCGCGAGCGAGTTCGTGTTGTGTTTTTAGACTTATGTGCATGTTTGGTTTGGAGCTCCGAGGGCTCGGGTGAGATTCGAATTGGTTTCGGAATGGTTTTCATGAATTTTGATTTCTGGTTCTGGTTTCTTCGCATTTGCGATGTTCTGGTCGCAAATGCGGCCATCACATTTGGGAAGAAGCCTCGCATTTGCGACGCTTGGGCAGCTGGGCAGCTTTTCGCATTTGCGAAGGTTGGTCTTCGCATTTGCGATGTCTTTGTCGCAAATGCGACCTCAGAAGGAATCCTTCAGGTTCGCAAATGCGATGAATCCTTCGCATTCGCGGGGTTCGCATTTGCGAACCCCCTGTCGCAAATGCGACATCTGCGACTTGTTAAGTGCTGAGAATTTCGAGTTTTTGCTTCATTTTTCATATTTTTGAACCCTAGCTTCGAGGTGAGGCGATTTTGAGAGGGGATTTTCATACCAAAACATTGGGTATGAAAAATTTTCAACTATATTTCATGATTTTATACAAGATTTAACATCAAATTCATGAGAAATCTATGGAAAAATTTGGGAATTTTGTCAAAGTTTTGAAAAATAAAAATTTGAGATTTGAGAGCGAATAGGACTCGGATTTGAGTGTGTTCCACAATCGCGATGACAGGTCACTATTTTAGTTGCCACATATTCATTTTAAAAATAAATTTAGACATTTATAATTGTGGACCTCACTTTTGTTGTAAATCTGCATCTTCTTCACCCGTTTTGCCCCATTTCTACTCGTTGCCACAAATGGCCACCACGGTAGTAAAAAAAACTTAGGAAAATTCAGAAATTTGAAATTCACACTCCAAAAATCATATATTTTAGTTTCACGTTACCACAAGCCAAACCAACAGCAAAGTATATTTTCTTACCCAGATTAGATTGTAAATAATAAGTGTGAATGATCTTCACTACAATAACTTAAGTCTACCAGAATCTCAAGCAATATAAGTGACGAAATAAATCAGAAAAACAAATATTATAAGAACAGTAGAAGGATTCAATAAACCTAATCCCTTCCCTCTCTCATCCCTTAATTTTCTTTCCCAAAATTTCCCTCCTAAAACTACCCCAAAGATCAGATCTTAACGGAGAAAATTCCAGCAGAAAAACTTTAGCCGATCATCTTCTCCGATGATTTATCAGATAAAGTTTTCAGGCTAAACAAGTCTCTCGTTGTGTAACGACCTGATTGATCGTTTTGGGAATCTACACTTCGCTCAGTATCTTGAGGGCTCGAGTATCTTCGCATGAGGTATTATG